TTTTCCAGATGGAGTTTAGCTCTTGTTGCCCAGGCTGCAGTGCAGTGGCGCGATCTCGACTCACTGTAACCTCCGCCTCCTGGGTTCAAGTGATGCTCCTGCTTCAGCCTCCCGAGTAACTGGGATTACAGGCATGCACTACCATGCCCGGCTAATTTTATATTTTTAGTAGAGATGGGGTTTTTCCATCTTGGTCAGGCTGGTCTCAAACTCCCAACCTAAGGTGATCCGCCCGCCTCGTCCTCCCAAAGTGCTGGGATTACAGGTGTGAGCCACCACGCCCGGCCTAGAGCACACTTTCTGTAGCAGACACTGGGCCAGGTGATTGGCAGGGCTGTCACAATGACTCATACACAAGGACCAGACATGGGAATGGGCATTTTAGAGCCAGAGACCCAAGAGGTAAATACCTAAACCTAATAAAGCAATAGGTTGATGGTGCTATACCATCATGCCAGCCTCTCTAACTCTAAAGCCTATGCCCTTGCTCTGAACAATTAATATGTGCTGGACCCTTGTATTTCAGTGGGCCCAGGCAGGTCTAGTGGGGAACCAGACATGATTAGGCAGATGCTGCCCTAATTTTCTTCCTACAACCCCATAGCAGAGGGATTCAGAGAGGAAACCAGATGAGGCAACCACTAGTATTCCCTCTGAGTGCGCTCTGAGACCCTGGAAGACAGGAAATGTCCTGCCCAAAACTGTGCCCAGAACTGAGCAGTGACTTTGGGAGGTGCTTCCATGGTTGCAGAAAGGGAATGGAGACAAGCAGCTTAGCACTGACTCACAAGGGAAGCAGTCAGGAAGAGGTATATAGTATCAGTTGATAGAACATGTAGGATCTTAATGCTTATGTTAACCAGCTTCCAGGTGCCTGTGAGGCTCTCCCACCAGTGCCAATGCCTATCAGCACTTCTTTCTCCATTCACCCTGCTCACGGCTGCATGTCGCCTTCTTCATTTTCTTTCCCCCTCTCTAGTGGCCTTTAAATGTTCCTTTACACTGACGTGAATATGTTGGGGGCAGACAGAAGTACTCCCGGTGTCAAGTACTCATAGAGAGTACTTGTCTCGGGCTCATAAAATTTATCAGGACAGCTCTGGCTTGGAACACCCTAGGGGTGGCTTAGACTTCACCATTTGGCAAGAGCACACGCCCAAGGCACTCACTGCCACCATCTCTCAGGTAACCCTGCCCTGGTACACATCAAGCATCCAGACTGTAAAATTCTCTTGAAATGAACATGAAAATTTCCCATGATTCTTGAGCCACCAGATGAGTGTGCACATATCAACTAGGTAAACTAACTCAGCACTCAAACATGCAGCCAGGAACAGAAACAGCTTCAGAAAGAATATTTGTAAGAGGACTGGATGAATGCTGCCGGGAGCCGGATCTCTTCCCATATGGACTTCCCCCATCTCTCTTCTTAGCCAGGTGCACCTGGGACTGCTTTTTACAGAAACCGCATTTGGAGGGCAATAGGGACCTCTGGCCCAGAGAGAGGAATGAAAAGGGACAACTTCCTCCCTCCTGTCTTTGCCCTCTCCAGCTTACTAAAGTGCTGGAAACATTTTTACATGTTTATTAATATACTAAATGAATGTATTCTTATGGTTGAAATACATTAAATAATTGATGTCTTAAAAATAAAAAAGGAACACTCTTAAGACCTCTCCTCCTCACAAAATATCACTTACTAAGATTGTTGAAAATTCATATTTTGCCCTCTCTTGTTCTCTCTCTCTAAGGAGATTCAACTTTTCAGTTTCATAGATGATATAGAAAAAGCCTGGTGCAAATAAAGTCATAGTTCCAGATATGGAACTGGAAAATCAGATTTCTATAACTGAAAGATTATTATGAATTAATGTTTTACATTAAGTATTTTGTATTCTTCACGTGTAGGCTTTTGTATTGCCATAATATAGAATTTATTGCCTGCAGTGTGCTGCGCTAGATGGTTGTTAGTTTTTCTCTTGCCTAGTTATTTTAATATAATTGGTCACATTGATTGCACAAGAGCTTATACACATGTTTTGTTTCTGCCATTTTTGTACGTTTTAGAAAATATCTGGCATCATGTTGAATTTGTTCTTATGGATCTCCAGAAAGTGATCTGTTATCATCTGTGTTTGCCTGTTTTGTTTGAACTGTTTGACAGCCTGTCTTTTAGATTGGCTGGTTACTTTGATCTAGACTTAGTTTTTCATGAGGCAGAATGGCTGTGGTGAATGGAAGGTAACCACAGATTCTTTGCCATGCAGCAGAGAAGTAGAAACAATTTTCCCTGCCTCATTAATCTGGGGTGACCCTGTGACTTGATTTGACAAGCACAATGCGATGCAGTGCCTTAAAATTTATGAGACAAGGCCTTAAATAACTGAAGATTCTGCCTTTGCCACTGGGTACACTTCCTATTAAGAGTCACCCACCATATATAAGAAGTCTAACTACCATGGGGTCATTATACTGTGAAGAAACTGAATCTAGCCACGTAGAGAAAGAGAGATCATGTGGAGGAGCAGCAAGACAGTAAACAAACATGAGACTGAAGCTCCTTTCTTGGACTTTCCAGCCTAGCAGAGCCACTACCTAAATGCAGCTGAATGAATAACTCCAACTGACCATATATAAAGCAAAAAAAAAAAAAAAAAATCCAGCTGAGCCCTAACTGAATTTATGACCCACAGAACCATGAATAAATAGAACGCCACTTGCTGTAAGCCACCAAGTTTTGAGATAGTTTGTTACCTGGCAGTAGAGGACTTAAACATGGAGAAACTTAGGGTATGCTGCAGATAAAAGCAGGAGCCCCATATTAAAAAAAATATACAATTTCTGAATCTACTGCCCTATTCCATTGTCTTAGATTTATATTTGTCTATTTGGCATCCATTAATCACAAGGCCAAACTAATGGCCAAAGTTCTTTGCATCCTCCTTGCCATCCAAAGCCCATACTTTGAAACTACTTCCTTTATCTAATTCTCATGCATCAAGCCAATATTTTCCCTGCTCTAAATTAGCCTGAAGCCAAGTATCAGACAACTAGGGATCGGCCTCATCCCCCTAAACCAGCTGGAATTATTCGAACTAGCCGATTCTAAACTGTTTGGCCTGCCCTGCCTTGCCTTTCCCACAGATACGCCAGTGAAGACTATGGCTTCCACTCACTCCTTTCTGCCTTCCGGTGTTTACCCACGTGCCCCTGCGTGATGTGGTGAGCCTCCTCCTCTCAGGAAATGTAAGTAACGAAAATCTTACAGTTACATTGGCCTTTCTATGTCATCACTCAGTCATCTCCATAAATTAAAATCCTGCAGGTACAATGGGGACACGTGAAAAGTAATCCTGTCCTGTGAGGAACTCTGAAGCGTGTGCTTGTGCATGAGTGCCTCTCTGTCCTTGTGTGAGTGTCTGTAGTCAAGCAGACATAAGCGTATTGCTGCCCTGTAACATCAAGGATGCTGCGTGTAGGGAAAACTGGCAGTGTCATGGTATGACAAAGAATCAAAAGCAGCCATGTTTACTCCAGGGAATCTATATGCCTATGTAAAAGCAGTGAAGCACATTTCAGGGAAACATTATGGGAAAAAAATAATTTTTGAAAAGAGGAGTTCTGTCTTCATACTCTTGCTTGCAACCTGTGTTGCTTGAGTAAGTCATTTATTCTTTTTTCTGAGCTTCTGTTTCCGTATCAGTAATGTGCATCCTACTAATATCTATATCATAAGGCTGCAGTGAATATCAAATCATAAAATATAAGAGCATCTGGCAAACTACAAAAAACTTTTGTACACAGATTACATATTATTGTTCACTGGACAATTGAGATTTAGTAGCCTTGCAGTGACTCATATTAACTGCATGTTAAATTTAATAGGTAGGTAGTTCACTTATCTTATGTTAACCTAGTATCCATGAGTTTATCCATGAAGTTTAAAAGTATAAAGTATACCTTTGAATAACTAGCTGGAGGAATAAAATAAGGTTATAACAGGATCTTACTTTTTGTCAGTTCAAAGCATTCTGCTCTTATAAGTTTTTTAGGGGAATAAAAGACATCTATTATTATAGTCCAAAGACCTACATGTTACATTTTCTATTTTGTCCTATCATTCTGGAAAAAATCCATACCACATCTGGGATATGGATACACAGTCTCCTCTCAGAGTAAAGAGGCAATTATATCTCCAGAAACTTTTCATACTATAGACCATGGTCGTCTTCCTTGGAGAGGCCAGCAGTTCCAGGGACATATGAAAGAGAGAAAACAGGATTTTCTCGGCCTTAGAAGTTTCTCTGGCCTGCCTTCACCTGAGCCAGCATCCTCTCCTCTCAGGTTCTCTAGACTTTCCTGCTAGCCTCCTTCATGTCCCTTGGTGTCTCCTAAACACTCAGTGATAATTTTTGTTTTTGATTTTTAATTTTTGTGGGTACACAGTAGATGTATTTTTTGTGGGGTACGTGAGATATTTTGATACAGGCATGCAATACATAATAAACACATCAGGGCAAATGGGATATCTGTCGCCTCAAGAATTTATCATTTCTTTGTGTTACAAACATTCTAATCTTACTCTTTTTGTTGTTTTTAAATGTATAATAAATTATTATTGACTATAGTCACCCTGTGTGCTACCAAATACTATGTCTTATTTATTCTTTTTTCTTTTCTTTTCTTTTTTTTTTTTTTTTGAAATGGAGTCTCAATCTGTTGCTCAGGCTGGAATGCAGTGGCAGGATCTTGGCTCACTGCAACCAGTGCCTCCCGGGTTCAAGCAATTCTTCTGCTTCACCCTCCCGAGTAGCTGGGATTACAGGCACCCACCACCATGCCCAGCTAAGTTTTGTATTTTTAGTAGAGATGGAGTTTCACCATGTTGGCCAGGCTGGTCTCGAACTCCTGACCTCAAATGATCCAACTGCCTCAACCTCCCAAAGTGCTGAGGTTACAGGCATGAGCCACCACGCCCGGCCTTGTTTAATCTTTCCATTTTCTAACTGTATTTTTGAACTCATTAACCACTCCCACTTCACCCCCAGCCCCCCACTACCCTTCCCAGCCTCTGTTAACTAACATTCCACTCTCTATCTCTCCACGTGTTCAATTGTATTAATTTTTATTTCCCACAAATGAATCAAAACATCCAAAGTTTGTCTTTCTAGGACTGGCTTATTTCACCAAACATAATGTCCTCCAGTTCCGTGTATGTGTTTGCAAATGACAGGATCTCATTATTTTCTGTGGCTGAATAGTACTGCATTGTGTCTATGTACCACATGTTCTGGATCCATTAATCTTTGATGCACACTTACGTTGCTTCCAAATCTTGGCTATTGTGAACAGTGATGCAACAAACACGAGATTGCAGATACCCATCGGTATGAGGAAATCAATATGCTGATTTCCTTTCTTTTGGGTATATTCCCAGCCAGTGGGATTACTGGATCATATGGTGTCTCAACTTTCATTTTCTTGAGGACCCACCAAACTGTACTCCTTAGTGGTTGACTAATTTACATTCCCACCAACAGTGTAAAAGGATTCCCTTTTCTCCACATCCTTGCCAGCATTTGTTACTTCCTGACTTTCGGATATAAGCCATTTTAACTGGTGTGAGATGATATCTCATTGTAGTTCATAATTGCATTTCTCTGATCAGTGATGTTGAGCACCTTTTCATATGCTTGTTTGCCATTTGTATGTATTCTTCTGAGAAATGTCTATTCAGATCTTATGCCCAATTTTTTCGTAGGACTATTAGATTTTTTCCTATAGAGTTGTTTGAGCTCCTTACATATTCTGGTTATTAATCCCTTGTCGGATGGATTGTTTGCAAATATTCTTTCCCCTTCTGTTGGTTGTCTCTCCGTTTTGTTGATTCATTTCTTTGTTGTACAGAAGCTTTTTAACTTGATGTGTTTCCATTTGTCCATGATTACCTTGGTTGCTTGTGTTTGTGGGGTACTGCTCAAGAAATTTTTGCCCAGACCAGGGTCCTAGAGATTTTCCCCAATGTTTCTTCTTTTTTTTTTTTTTGAGGTGGAGTCTCACTCTGTTACCCAGGCTGGAGTGCAATGGCGTGATCTTGGCTCACTGCAACCTCCACCTCCCAGATTCAAGTGATTCTCCTGCCTCAGCCTCCAGAGTAGCTGGGATTGCAGGCATGTGTTACCATGTCTGGCTAATTTTTGTATTTTTAGTAGAGACGGGAGTTTCACCATGTTGGCCAGGCTGGTCTTGAACTCCTGACCTCAGGTGATCCACCCACCTCGGCCTTCCAAAGTGCTGGGATTACAGGCGTGAGCCACCGTGCTCGGCCTTCCTGAATGTTTTCTTTTAGTAACTTTATGGTTTGAGATCTTAGATTTAAGTCTCTAATCCATTTTGATTTGATTTTTGTATACGGTGAGAGATAGGGGTCCAGTTTCGTTCTTCTGCATATGGATGGATATATCCTTTACCTGGCCCTGTATATTGAACAGAGTGTTCTTTTTCCAGGATATGTACTTGGCACTTGTGTTGCAAATCAGTTGGATATAAATAAGTACATTTGTTTCTGTGTTCTTTATTCTGTTTCATTGGTCTTTGTATCTGCTTTTATACTAATACTATGCTGTTTTGGTTGCTGTAACTCTGTAGTATAATTTGAAGTCATGTCATGTGATTCCTACAGTTTTCTTCTTTTGCTCACAGTGGCTTTGGATATTCTGGGTCTTTTATGATTCCATATAAATTTTAGGATTATTTTTCCTATTTCTGTAAAGAATGTCATTGGTATTTTGATAGAGATTGCATTGAATCTATAGATTGCCTTGGGTAGTATGGACATTTCAACAATATTAATTTTTTCCAATCTCCACTCATAAAATATCTTTCCTTTTTTTGTGTCTTTATTTTCTTGTATTAATGTTTTATAGTTTTCATTGCAGAGATCATTCACTTTGGTTAATTCCCAGGTATTTTGTTTTATATTTAGCTATTGTAAATGGGATTACTTTCTTGGTTTCTTTTTCAGATTATTTGCTGTTGGCATATAGAAATGTTACTGATTTTTGTACATTGATTTTGTACCCTGCAACTTTATGGAGTTTGTTCATCAATTCTAATAGTGTTTTATGGAGTCTTTAGTTTTTTCCAAATATACAATCATCATTTGCAAGCAAGTATAATTTGAATTCTTCCTTTCCAATTTGGATGCCCTTTATTTCTTTCTCTTGTCTGATTTCTCTAGCCAGGATTTCCAGTGCTATATTGAATAACAGTGATGAAAGTGGGCATCCTTGTTGTGTTCCAGATCTTAGACAAAAGGCTTTCAATATTTCCCTGTTCAGTATGACACTAGCTGTATGTTGCATGTGACTTTTGTTCCTTCTATACCAAGTTTTTTTAGGGTTTTTATCTTACAGGGATGCTGAATTTTAATCACATGCTATTTCCACATCAATGAAATGGTTATAATTTTTGTCTTTCATACAGTTGATATGATGTATCACAATAATTGATTTCTGTATGTTGAACCATCCTTGCATCTGAGGGATAAATCCCATGGGGTAATGATGAATGATTTGTTTATTGTGTTGTTGAATTTGGATTACTAGTATTTTGTTGAGAATTTTTGCATCAATGTTCATCAGGGTTGTGGGCCTGTAGTAGTCTTTTTGAGCTATCTTTGTCTGGTTTTGGTATCAGGGTTATAGTTGCCTCGCAGAATGATTTTACAAGTATTCCCTTCTCCTCTGTCATTTGGAATAGTTTGAGTGAGACTGATATGAGTTTTTCTTTAAACATTTGGTAAAATTCAGCAGTGAAGCCATCGGATCTCAGGATTTTCTTTGCTGGGAGACTTTTACTTATGGTTTCAACCTCATTACTTGTTATTGGTCTATTCAGGTTTTGAATTTCTTCATGGTTCAACCTAAGTAGGTTGCATGTATCTAGGAATTTATCCCTTTCTCCTAGGTTTTCCAATTTATTGGCATATAGTTGCTCAATGTATTCTCTAATGATCCTGTGAATCTCTGTGGTATCAGTTGCAATGTCTGCTTTTTAATCTCTGATTTATTTATTTGGGTCTTCTCTCATTTTTTCTTGGTATGACTAAAAGTTTGTCAATTTTCTTTATCTTTTCGAAAAATTGACTTTTCATTTTGTTGATCTTTTCTATTTTTGGTTTTAAATTTTGTTTATTTCTGCTGTGATTTTCATTTTTTATTTTCTTCTACCAGCCTTGGGTTTGA